AATTGTAAGCCTCGACAGCCACAGCACCCGTACCTTCCCTTCCCTTTGTATCTTATTTTATCACTATTTTCTGTATAAAATATAATAAAATCCATTTCTAATAAACTGTTTTAAGCCATAAAAAATTAAATTAATTAAATTACAAATATATTTAAGTGTCACTTATTTCTCAATTAAATTATGTCATTAAAGGAATACAAAAATTACTATTTTTATTATAAATTCATAATTATTATGATTAATTAACCGTTGATTACAACACAACTCGTAATTCTTTTGATGGGATAATCCAGTTATGCAATCAAAATAAACAAAATTATAATAATTATCATTACCGGTAATTATTTACATTTTTAAAATCTATTATTTTTCGTTTATAATGTCGAATAAATTGAAAACAAATACAATTATTATTATTAAAACTCTTAGACTGCTAAAAAACTAAATCATATATAAAGTTAACGCCTATTAAATTAATACAATGAAGAGATTTATGACAATTTGCGTAAACTATTTGCACAAAATAATAATAAACAAAAAACTAGTTTCTAATAATCGTTGATTACATTTCATTACTTGCTTTCATTGTTTGTATTAAATAAGCATTTATTTCATATTTACATCAATTTAAACCTTTTTGAAAACAATAATAAAATAAAATGAAGAGTTTTATTGAGTTTATAGGAAAGAGTGGTTGAATGGAGTGATAGAGTAGACAAGACATGGACAAGACATGGATGACTGGATCTACTCGAAGTTGTATTTCCACCACTCCTTCTCATTGCCTTCCATGATATGATCGATGAGTGCTTTGCGTCTGTTTTGGCAATAATTGCTTGAATGCAAGACTTGAGANGACAAGACATGGACAAGACATGGATGACTGGATCTACTCGAAGTTGTATTTCCACCACTCCTTCTCATTGCCTTCCATGATATGATCGATGAGTGCTTTGCGTCTGTTTTGGCAATAATTGCTTGAATGCAAGACTTGAGATCTGATGCAATGGTTGTCATCGTTGGCGTCCTTCTCATCCCTCTCGAGGTATTCGGACAGCGTTTCCACCGCTTTCTGCAGATCTCTTTGATTGTCTTCAAATATGTTCATCTGTTGTGTCCTCTCGTTGTAAAAGGCGAACACATCTGACATTGAATGACACAAAATGAGTAAAACAATTGAATAGACAATGAATGGTATAATACATGTAAACATGAGTGTCTGTCGGCAACTGCACAGCACTTCCACCGCCCTCTCCATGAACTGGACCTCAACCCAAGTCATGTGATATCTGTCCTGCATTTGTGTCATTTTGCTCTTCACCGACGACTTGAGCTCATTCTCAAACCGGAGGCTCTGCTGATGGTTCATAAATCGGGTCCAATAAAACATATATCTCTCCAAACACTTCCTGCCCTCCGATTGGCTGCTCTTCTTGTCCTTCACTTTGTTTTCGTTATAGAGATTGCAGTTGTAATAAGACGTGCCGTGAGTTGACCACGAGTCCAGACACACCCAACAGAACTCGTACTTGCATTTTATGCTACGACAAGTCCTGCAACCAAAATAAGATCATAGTCACCCAAAAACAGGTCCAGTCATTGAAACACCCGATTTGTCACTTACATGTGATTACAGCCGCCATTCTTCTCGATGGTTGTCCTGCATTTGGGACACTCTTTGGTGTTAGTGATGATCCAATTGGCTGTCTTGCCGTCGATGCGCTCCGAGTTATTGCCCGCGGACTTGATATTCCACTCCCGAAGCAGATGACAGCCGATGGGCTCGTGATTGGCTTCACCGCAACCGAAGCAGATCTGAGTCCCGCAAACACAGGTCACGGGATGCGCCTCTTTGGACACTACGCTGAAGGCGTGCAAACAGTCGGGTCGCGGACACCATCGCAACAGCCGATTGCTCTCCACGAAGGAGTTGGTGGTCAGGCGCTGGTACTTGGCTTTCACCAACTCGTCTGCTATCAACTTCAGGACGTCCTCGTCATCTATAATCAGTTTGCAGTCGCTGTGCGCACACGTGATGGCCATCACATCGCCTTCGGACATGATTTTGGTGGTCAGATATTGGGTCCAACACTGGCGACAGTACAGGTGATCGCAGTCGAGGCCAAACATACTGTCCGTTTTGGTGTCCAAATAGCAGATCAGACACAGTATCTCCGAATAGCGACGTCTTTTGCTGTCACCCGCTTTGGACTCTTTCGCCACAGAGTTGTCGGACACTAAACCGATCTCTCGGAACAGTTTCTCTTCGTCGCCGTCGAAGAGCCGCTCCAGAAGTTTTTGTTTATCCCATTTAAAGTGCTTGAGAAGTGTCCGAATGGCCGCCGACGACAACGGAACCACTGACTTGATGTCATCGATGCAGCGCTTCATTTGAGTGCCGATCTCTTCGATGGACAACACTTTGTAGACAAACTCTGGCGCTGTCTTCGGCTTCGGGTCTTCGCTCGTGAGACTCATCTCGATGTCTGAATCGGAGATAATGTCGTCCATGTCTTCCATCTCGTGGTGAGAGTCAGGCATTTCTGACCAATAGATCAACGGATTATGTCTTTAAGTCTGGGAACAAATGCTTTGAAGACAATAGAGGTTTAGTAGAGATTTGTTTGAATAGCTTTTCAGTTATACTGTATTTGAATTATGGTTTTCACTAACAGTTTGAATGAAAGCATACAATAATTGACTCAATTATACGACAAATATGTGAATGAATTTTGAATTTGAATTATTATTAGCTTTAGTTTTGACACCAATTTTAAACGGAAACTCAATTCAAACCATTTATCAATTTAAACATAAATCCAAATTCAATACACAAATCAAAGAATCAAATAAAATGTTTAAGATTTGCACAAATATTTATAAATGCAATCAAAGTATAACTCAAATCAATAATCAATGCATTTGTCGTCAAATCAAGTTTTGGGGCAAAAAGAGGGGCACAAAGAGTTTGAAACCCGTGACCGCCGGCAAGACATCACTGGCTTTCTATGGATTAGATCCCGATTACAGGACCCCTCAGAACAGTAAACCCAATCCAATCATCATATATCACAGTCTCTTCACGAGTAAAGGCATGTATAGGACAGCTGTGAAACCGTTGGCCGAACGGACGGGACGGACAGTATATCTGTTGGATATGAGAAATCACGGCGAGAGTCAACACTCGGCGGCCGAACACTCGGACATGAATTTCGTGGCCAAAGATGTGATCAATTTTATGGACGAGTTTGAGCTAAAGAAAGCGGTTCTCGTGGGTCACGGCTTCGGGAGTCTAGCGATGCTTCGCACGAGTCTGTTGTTTGAGGATCGGGTCGACAGAGTGGCCGCCTTTGACATAACGCCCGTCGATTTCCCGACCGTTGGACTCAAGATTATGGATCGGATGGAGACAACTCTGTCATGTCTTCCGCAACACATCCATCTATCGACGGCCAGACTAGCGATGAAACAACAACTCGAACCTTATTTTCAAGACAAAACTCTTTTGCGGTTTATTTTAATGGATCTAATGATAGACGAGAAGGGATTCGCGAAATGGAGGTTCAATTTGCCGGCCATTAAGCAACTGGTGATGAATGGTATCGACAGATCAGCCACTGGTGACAAACAATACTCAGGAGAGGTGTTGTTTGTGAGCGGAAAGTACGGCCCGATTACTGCCAACACTTACAATCAGATGAAACAGTGGTTTCCAAACGCGAGGTTTGATTTCTACACCAAATCCAAACAATTCGTGTCGTCGACTAAATCCAAACAATTTATCGATATTTTAGTCAAATTTATCGGCGAAACCAAGAAATTGAAGTAAATTTGTTAAACATTAAACTTATTGTGAAAATAAAAACCAAATCCAAACAATTCGTGTCGTCGACTAAATCCAAACAATTTATCGATATTTTAGTCAAATTTATCGGCGAAACCAAGAAATTGAAGTAAATTTGTTAAACATTAAACTTATTGTGAAAATAAACAAAATATTTATTGAATTATTTTCCATTTCTATGTTATTAAATAAAAATACAAAAATTATCGGATTTACTAATAGATTAATCTTTCATAATTTAAATGAATAATACAATTACAAAATATCACAATTAGAAAAGACCTTTAATTTTAAGTCAGATTTATTATGAAATAGTTTTAAATACAGCGAAATATTTGCATTAAATTAATAACGAGTTATTTTAAAAATCATAAAATGCTATAATTGTTATCAAATATACATAAAGTTTTGATTGTAAATCAAACATTAAGACTAGACCTATCATCGGGTTTCATCACATCCGGTACACCACTCAACCATCTATGGCTCAGCACACCATCGATGGTAAGCCTTCGTTTACCTGAGGGCGCGAACATACCATCGATCAAGTCGTTCAGCTCTGGGCTGCCATTCAGATGAGTGTATTGTTTATTCATTTGGCGTTTAATTGCTTTTGAGATGTCTTTCCAGTTATCTTTGCGGCTGTTATAGGGATACCGTTTTGAGCACATGTAATACAGACACACACCCAGTGACC